ACTTTAAAACTGCATACATATATAGGGGGAACAGTTATATGGGTAAACACGTCAACAATTTGTTTGCTATGTCTAGAACCGATGATCAAGGGTAAGTTTTATTTTTCCAAGGAATGTAAAAGTGGAATATAAATAAATTCGTCATTAGCAGGGAGCGCGAAACACTTACAAGTAATGCGACTTAAAGGCTGAATGAAGACACTTTCATCCAGCCGACTAGCACGGAAAATAAGAATATCACGATAATGTAAGGGACGAGTAAAAAAGGACGAACAAGATCAAACCTTCTAAAGTGGAAATGAAAGGCTGTAAGTCTTACAATAACACACGGGTGGCTATCAACGAGAACTGCATTGTCTCATGTAGAGCAAGAGAAAAAGAGCGGAAAAGTAAGCCGTCGGAAGGAACGGGGTGCACCCCCCCCACAGTCATCTTTCAACAAACAGTCCAGCGTGTCAGCTGAATCTGATGCAGACCTTTCAGCAATACGTCGTATTTGAACGGGAGAACTACGCGTCCCGGAAACATCTTCCCTCAGTTTACCTAAAAATGACTCAAAGAGAAACGCGGAAAACCGATCCAAGGGTCCATGTACCCCCACATCATCCGCCAAATATACCAAGCTATGTACGTTGTACGTGACAGCCCGCGGCTTATATACATAGGACAAGTTCTGTACGACTACGCATGTTACGCTCTGAGCAAAGTCAGCATAATCGACGTGGAAAATTGGATGGGAGAACAAGTAGACAGCAATGAACAACTCGAGAACACCTCTAAACATCGGTGTCAACCAAACCTGCAAGTACAACAGGCCCTAAGTAGAGTAAGAACTGTCGAAAATCTGTGGCTCTCCACAGGTACTCACTGACTGTTTGCGGAATTCCGTGTCCAACAATCTGACCAGTAAATCATCCAAATATTCCATTCTGGTCATTCTGTTAATCTCTTCCAGACTGCCCTTCCGTATTTGTTGCGTGGATGCACCCGATTTGAGGCCTTGCTGTGAATATCTTAGCCATACATCGGGCTTTTCCCAGCGACCCACAGTTTCTTCTAATATTCGAATAGACAACAAGAGAGAGTGACATTAACTCACCTCGGAAGGCCTCTGCTTTGACAGTCTGGTCGCGCATTTCATCTAGGTATGAACAGATGCACATGATTGAAGTTTACCTCGAAACGCAGCAAGGATGCACATCATTTCATTGTTTGGGTAATCGGGCACACGCGATCTATCGGAATTGCTTGTTTCCTCGCCGGAGTCATTGGTTTGTTCAATAGTCCGCAGGGGTGGTGGCGATATCGCGGATTACTGATGGCCATAAGCCGAACAACATTCAAAATATATGACAAACTAAAATTATGGCCGCATTTACTTAACAGGTGATGATGAGATTCGCGGAGGGGTTGAGTGAACTTTTCGGAAGCTCTCGAGTTGGTATTTCTCAACTCCTTCGCCAGTTGCGTTTTCTGCGTTCTCGCGGACACCATAATACAGCCCAAAGTAGGTCTGTGACTGCGTGTTTGAAGTGCCGTTAGTTTAGCATTGCACGGAACCGGGCTGTTTGATAATAAGCTCTTGAAGACGTGGTAAGGCTCAATTAGATTTCTTGTGTGAAGCGTATCAAACTTCTTGATGACTACATCGGAGCGTGTGATACCGTTCGAAGACATGCCCTCTGTTTATTAGGGCGCATTCCATTGCTTCTTAGTCATCAGATATCCTCCAACAAATGGTTCTTTTATCGAAAAACCACTTCACATCCAATCCCAAACTGCTCGTCATCCAAGAACTTTAAAACTGCATACATATATAGGGGGAACAGTTATATGGGTAAACACGTCAACAATTTGTTTGCTATGTCTAGAACCGATGATCAAGGGTAAGTTTTATTTTTCCAAGGAATGTAAAAGTGGAATATAAATAAATTCGTCATTAGCAGGGAGCGCGAAACACTTACAAGTAATGCGACTTAAAGGCTGAATGAAGACACTTTCATCCAGCCGACTAGCACGGAAAATAAGAATATCACGATAATGTAAGGGACGAGTAAAAAAGGACGAACAAGATCAAACCTTCTAAAGTGGAAATGAAAGGCTGTAAGTCTTACAATAACACACGGGTGGCTATCAACGAGAACTGCATTGTCTCATGTAGAGCAAGAGAAAAAGAGCGGAAAAGTAAGCCGTCGGAAGGAACGGGTGCACCTCCCCCCACAGTCATCTTTCAACAAACAGTCCAGCGTGTCAGCTGAATCTGATGCAGACCTTTCAGCAATACGTCGTATTTGAACGGCAGAACTACGCGTCCCGGAAACATCTTCCCTCAGTTTACCTAAAAATGACTCAAAGAGAAACGCGGAAAACCGATCCAAGGGTCCATGTACCCCCACATCATCCGCCAAATATACCAAGCTATGTACGTTGTACGTGACAGCCCGCGGCTTATATACATAGGACAAGTTCTGTACGACTACGCATGTTACGCTCTGAGCAAAGTCAGCATAATCGACGTGGAAAATTGGATGGGAGAACAAGTAGACAGCAATGAACAACTCGAGAACACCTCTAAACATCGGTGTCAACCAAACCTGCAAGTACAACAGGCCCTAAGTAGAGTAAGAACTGTCGAAAATCTGTGGCTCTCCACACCCCGTTGTCATCGAGAGGACTGCGGTGACGTTGGAACTCGCTAGGGGTGTGACTGTGTTCATTTGAAATGCGGCGGCTAACTTCCATCCTCAGCGTTTGTGGCAATCTGTAAGGAAGACTCGCTTGACGACCAACCCAAAATTCCAGCAAATTCTTCGGTACTCCTAGGCATACCAAATGCATATAATCAAGGGGGAATGACTTGATCATGTCTTTTGGTAGCCGCTCAAATGTGGAGACACCGATATGATGTCTAGCATTGGGTCTTGAGCGGAAGTCGGCGTCTGTCCTCACACGGGCGTCTAGTTGTGGAAAACTCATTGTTTTTCCAAGCCGGACTCCATGAATGACATACCTATCACCGCAATAAATGGAGTGTCCTTTGATTTACTTTATAAACGACCTGGCTGGTTTGTCGCAAATGATGCGTGACACATGAACAGGCACACAACCATGACCTACACAAATAACAATGACAGGCACACATGACCTACACAAATAACAATGTTCTCATGCCACATCGGCCGTCGCGTGGTGCCATCATCCGGGTCGCCTTACTTGCTGCCTGCATCAGGGCGGGCAAGCGAAAACAAGTTACTGTCGATCCCTCCATTCTTCCTTCATCCTCTCCTTAACCCATTAATAACTCTCTCCTTGAAGGCCCAGAAGTTAAGATACATGACTCCGTTTGTCCTACAATTGCTTTGCAGGCAACATCTGCGCGTCATCCAGCACCAACACCCTCAGGCATCTTGAAATCAATCCTCAAGCCTCGACACTCAGTCTATCTGGTCGCATTCAGTGTCCGCACTCTGGAGCAAGCAGGACAGCAAACTGCTGCTGCTCTCACACTGGACTCGCTTCACATTGATGTGTGCTGTGTATCAGAAGCAAGAATTCAATATGCAGGCACAGTGATTGAGCAAGCTGCCCCATCACCTTCCACTCGCTTCCGGGTACACAACTCTGGTGATCCACAGGCTGCTGCGCAGGATCTTTGTTTGATTGGATACTCGCTGATAGTGGCCTGTGTGCGATCCGTCTGGTAACGTCTGCGAAGGAGCCTCACAAACGGGAAGTTGACTGATATCTGTTTGTTGTGTCTGCTTACGCCCCAACTAACCAGCTCTGACACCATCAAAGACACGTTTTATGACGCGCTGAATGTCTTAGTGCGGCGAGTCAAAACCTCAGATATCGCGGTAGCCCCCGGAAATCTAAACGACAGGCTCAGCGAATCTGATACTTAGTTAGGTGGTTGATATGGATTGCAATCAGTGCGCACGTACAGTGGTGAACAAGTGCTTCAGCTGTGCTGACCGCAGACTCTTTTTATTCAGTACTAACTTCCGAAAAGGCGGAAGTTGTCTGGCCACACGGAGTCCTCTAACGGCGTGCCGGTCATGAAGGTAAATCGATCATATTGCCATCATTTGCCGATGTCAGTCGTTTTGGAACATATTTATGGATTCTGATGAAGCGCTCGTCCAGATCCGCCTCTCCGTTCTTTTCCCAGGGCCAACTAAGGTGTGCAAAAGCCACCTGAGATATGGATGTTAGACGACATTACAAAAATTGTCTTCTAGAGTCTCTTCCAAACTGGGACGAGATTGCCACCATTTCATACGGTGCGAGGAGTCGTGTCTGTGCACGGCACTACCAAACGCATCCAAGCACTGGACATCGGGCCGAACAGTGGCACCGCTTATTTCTCAGAGGAATACCGCAGTCGCTCCAGAAAATAAATTGACGTGACGAATTATCAAACATAGAGTGACAGTCAGCATGCCAGCCGACCGTGAAGTCTGGTGAACACGGGAAGCCAGGGAAATGGAAGAGGCCCGGAAACCCGGGAATGCCCGAAGATTAGTTCAGTTCATCCGGGCGACCTGTCCTTAGAAACTGTCTGCGAGGGAAACCATCAGGAAAAGGAGACAATCTTGGGTAAAAAACCCTCGACCGTTGGGCCGAATACCTCGAACAGCAATTGTCGTGGCCAACACCTGCCACTCGTCTAGAACCCACAGTTGATGTAGAACCCGAAACGATGAACGTGGAACTCCATACGTCCTCCGAGGTTTATTCGATACAATTTTTCTATTTATCAGCTGCAAACTGTGTACCGTAAGCACAGTAGTTCCAGCTGCTACAGTTATAATCACCGGAAACAAGGGAAATTGTGGGACATACAACCGAGCGTTGGAGGCGGTGGCACGTCAGGATAGCTATGCATTGAAGGCGGTAGATTTGATGCACGAGCGGCACTGACTGTGCGATTGTACCACTTCTGCTAGTGTCATTAACCATTGGTGAGTTGAGTCCTGGGGTCCCCATCCAGGGAGGCGTTAGGTACTTTGTCGCCAGGTCACCTGTCCATCTCTCGCTCTCTTCCACTCAACATATGGCAGGGCGAAAAGAGCTCTGTGAATCAGACGATCTTCTGGCAACTAGAGTACATGTCCTAACCAGTATAATCTATGAAATGTGAGTAATTCGTCTATCGCGGGAGTTCCTTCTTTCTAAGACCATTTGGAACTCCTCAGCATTACTAATCCGATATTTCCACCGGACCCGACCAGTGCTTTGGAGACACCGATGGTCAAACGTAACATCTGCTCGTACAGGCCACGTCTCTGATTCGTAAGGCAGTGCGGATCACACCGCTACAGTGCGAACGATGCCTTTGACAGACAAACCGACTTCACGTCGGCGCGTGGCAAAAGCTGACTTGGCATTCCCGATTCGTGAAATAATATCATCTCCAGCCAGTCCACCGGAACCGATAGAGCCACCTAGATGAACAAATCTATCACGTCGATTGACTCACCTGCTAGCATGAGACGTGGGTTCGATCCAACCCAGCATTGTAGCAGCACTTTAAACTACAGGTGCGAAGCACATGCCAGAGTTATTTAGGTTATTTAAAATTGTCTACATTTGGAAGGGATCTGAACCAAGGAGAACAATATAGTCTGCATACTCAATGT